ACAATGTGTGCACGGTAGTCCCTGAGCTCTGCAAGAATGCAAGTCACAGGTAACCGTACAACTTTGAACTTTGTATGCAACTACTCTGCAATGCCCTCTCAAGTCTAGTTGCACGTTATTTGGCATAATTATCATCTATAGGCCTTATCTTCCTTTCCTGAAGGTCCGAGCGATCGGAGCGAAACCAAGACAGAATTGACCCGCCAATGCCGGAAATTTTACCTCTATTCAGTATAGCAGTGTGCGAAACGTTATCGAAAGCACCAGCTATGGCGACTGCAACAAGCCGAGCGATTCCATTGCGACCCACTATGTCGTACCACTCATGATGGAGGGCAGTGAGGAGGTCGTCAGTTCCAAGTCCACGGCGGAAGCCAAATTGCGTGGGAGATAGGATCATGTGACGTTCTATGTGATTGACAATTTGCCTGTTGATGATGGTCTCCATAATCTTTGACGCAATACTCAGAAGGGAAACAGGTCGTTAATTTCTCACTGCTGCTTTGGAAACGCGCTTGTGGATAGGCACGTCGTTTGCCGTCTTCCAGGGGTTGGGATGATGCGAGCAGCGTAGGCAGAGGGCGAACAGCTTAGTCAGAGGGGGTGCGAGCTCTTTCGCACACTCTCGAAGAACCCGTGCTGGTAGACTATCTGGACCAGTGGCTTTGTTGACTTGGAGCTTAAGGATCTTCCTCTGAACCTCAGCATTGCGAAAGCGGATCATGCCGATTGCTGGTGGGTTGTGTTGCTTGGGTCTTGGAAGGCTGGACGGGTCAATGTCATTGTCTCCAAGACTGCATTTCTGTGAAAAGAAATCCACAAAACATTTATTTTCATTCGACTTCTCCTTCGCGGTGCGTTGCTCTCTGCTGTTCTCATCAAAGAGTGTGGGAATATCAGACTGGTGTCCAAAACCACCTGCACGCTTAATTGTAGACCATCATCCCTTGTCTTTGAGACAGCCAGTTGTAAGCTTAGTGCGAAGTGTAATCTGTTCGGCAGCTTGTGCTCTTGCCATTGTTCGACCATTCTGTGCCACGGCATCGGACTACGTAACATACTTTGTAACTGTTGTCAGCCTGGATTCCGCTGCCACGCCTTCCAAGGCTTGAAGCCCGTTCCTTTGCGGCGACAGCAGCATTGCACTCAGGTGTCCACCAAGTCGGATTCGATGGGCGTGTGATAAGTCTTTCTTTATTATTTTCGAGCTGGGAATGTGAACATAGTAAAAGAAAAAAAGTTGGTTGCTAGGGATGAACATTGCCATGCCCTGCTGAATTTGCTGAGTCGGACGTGTGCAGGCCTCCTCTGGGTCATCCTGTAGAAGGGAATCCCAGTCCGAGGTGCGCAGGAATGCTCGCAGGCGACTCCAGTCAGCAAGGCTGTAGCGCCACACACGCCTAGATGTGGGAGGCTCCCTAGCGGGTGCTGCTGAGGCAAAGGAACAAAGTACAACTTGGTGGTCAGAACTTTCGGTAACAGGGAGGTACGGGTTTCCGGATAGTCGGAAAGGATTAGATCAAGAGTATTGAACCCATGAGTGGGAGCGGTGCCCAGCAGCCACCTCTTCCATGTACTCACCGGCTGAAGTTGTCTTCGTGCTTACACGCCACCTGGCATTGTGCACATTGAAGTCCCCTGCGAGGATGGTGTGAGCAGCGCCGTGTCGGCGGTAGACAGCTCCAATAGCCGTCTTCAGGCTCTGCGTGTTCAAAACAGTCTGCCAGATGACCTCATGAGCATCGGATTGGTATCTCTCCAAGTGCTGATAAACGAGCCCCTGCTTCAGCCAGACAGCAATTCCGCCACCATTGGCAGTTCTGTCCCGGCGGATAGGGCCCAGTGTCTGCTCTCGGATTGTAGGACAGCCGGGTACACGTGTACCTGGCGCAACCATTTCAACAGGGTCGGAGCCAGGTACACAAAGTCATGTATTAGACGCGCGCCTCTGCATGATCTGCCACACATACAAGCCATGTAGTCAGTCCTTTGAAAGTTTCAAAGTTCGAACGTGTAAAGCAGGGAGTAGTACAATACTACTACTCCCTGGTGTAAAGTACCAACTGGGTCACAGGTGACCCGGTACTATATTTCCAACCGGGTCCAAGCGCCGCCCAACCGGGTCGATTACCCGGCTCTGGAGCAGACACTGGGGCCGGAGTAGCCTGGGATGGCTGCCTCCACTTGTGAGCATTTGTCCGAGGTAAGCTTTGACTCTGTAACCATGGCAATATCTACTGCCTGCTGGTGGAGTAGATGACGAAGTTCACCAAACTTGGAGAGTAAACTCTACAAGCTAACGTCAGCAGGAGGTTGAGCTGTGTGGAGTCAGCATGCTGGGTGCCAGTTGCACTGGTTATTCCCAGGTGCGAGCGTCGTCCAGTCATTGCACAGATATATCCCCATCCTGACTGAGAGATGCAAATGCATTGCCAACTGTGACACTAAACTTCGCAGCTTGCGTCTCGGGCGGCGAGTCACGCTGGTAGCCCCGTGATTTCTGACCTGGAGTCCGGACCTGTGCTCCACAGGTGTCATGTAGGATATCGCAATCCATGCTGTGTCCGATCTTACTGTCGTCCTTGCCGCTGCTGATGCTGGTTGTGGTGCTGCTCTGCGCTGCTTGTTGATCTCCACGGGCATCAGACTGGGTGTATTTATCGAAGTTCCACTCTCTTGTGTACTATACACAGGCCTTCGCCAGAAGCGCTTGTTGCTGAGGAACGATTCGTCCGCTGCACTGGCAACAATCCGCGCAGTGGAGGATGTTTCTTTTTGAAATAGTTTTACTTCAAAACACTTGGACATTGTGGTCAGCCTCAGCTGCTCTTGTTGCGATGAACTCCTTCAGCTGGTTCAATTCGTCCTAGTCTCAGTATCATTGTCTTTCTTATTATTTTCGAGCTGGGAATGTGAACATAGTAAAAAAAAAAAAAAAAAAAAAAAAAAAATTCCCACGTGGCTTCTCAACGGTACGAGATTGTTTCTCATTCATTTTTTGTCTCCACCTGTCAGCAATTATCTTTCTCACATTTTCTTACGTGCCCATTGGAGAGAAACTGCGCATATTTTGTGCATAACTTTATTCCCAATTTGCAGGGTTCGCGTCTCCCAAACCACACTTGCTAGATTAAAGAGGGTATTTTGGTTGTCAAGTACAATTTTCAAAAGGGTTGCCCAAAAGCTTCACGCTTATCGCGGGGGATTTCCATATTACCAAAGGCGTAGAAAAAGTGATGAACAATGGCCGAATAGAGAAAGAGTATACAGAAATAGTGTTGAGCATGCCTGGAGCATGCCTCCTTCGTGCGCGTTGTGCTTTCTGCTTCTGGTGGCTATGGCAAGCATGCCAATGCGCGCTTTTCTTGCGGATCGCGTCTCTCCTGGCTGAGAAGAGCAAGGAGCCATACGCGCAGATTTAATCTCCTTGCTGCGCTGCCGCCTTGGCTTTGCCCTGGTTCATTGTGGTGCCATGTGCCTGCGTAGCTCAAGGAACATGTTTGCACCTGCTGTGCCTGAGTTCCCTGCATGCAGTGCTAGCGGTGGCTGCGGCACGCATCCAGTGAACCTGCCGTGATCCTACTGAGTCTGTCTAATCATTACTGTATCTGATGCAATTTCAAATTTGGACTTCACGGAGAACTTCACAAAGTGTTAGGAAATTAGAGGCCACATGCCACGTACTGCTCGTTTCTCTCCGAAACTCAACACCTGCAAGCCAGATATGAAAGAAAGAAAAAATCATCAGTCACACCACACTCTAATTTCCTACCACTTTGTGAAATTCTCCGTGAAGTCCAAATTTGAAATTGCAATTTGTATTTCCTCGCAGTGGACATAGGTTGATGCGCTCCCCATGATATCAAGCGAATGGCCGAGGGCCCTCTTGATTGGTGTGAGTTGCCAGTATGATGCAAGCCAGATAATGATTGATCGAAGATGGATAGATTTACCATTACTGTGGATAAGAGTCATACTGTAGCTCAGTTGGTTAGAGTATTGCTCGCGAATAGCAAGGTCCCTGGCTACTGAAAGATTTTACATCAATTAGTATTAGGGAGGAGGGAAAAGTGGGAAGTGAGTGCGCGGAGAGCGTAGCTACAATGTAGTGCCACGCCAAACATCATTAACAACGTGCTCTGACCATGCAGGAAAGAGTGAAATGTCACTGGTGCGCACCACTACTAGTTGCTGGTGACTGCTCACCAGTTCAATGTATTGTCAGAAGAGTCTGACTACCACTGACTATACTGAGCCTGGAGGAGCACATCCAATATGTAGTGATCATGGTCTCTGTCTTTCTGACCTACTGAACTATGATGCGCGTAGGCACCATTCCGTAGGCGACGAGAAGACGATAACTAGTATTAAGGCGCCAACTAGTATAAGCGAAGCGGAAATTACGAAAATGATCAATGGAAAACATGTATGTTAAAATTGATGTTCCTAATCGATTTTCTTGAGACTATCATCAGGGAATAATCGTCTCACAATAGAAGCTATGCGAAGAAACAAACTACTTATACGTCTATAGGATAGTGGGAAGTATACAAGAGACAAGTACATGTACTTGGTTAATCTGTTGTGGTGATTGACAGAGCGACATCCAGCACATGCCCTGAATGCTCTGACAAGGTGGAAAACCGTGTTCTTGCCCTTTTCAAACATTTCGCTGCTCGTTTTGTCGACACATCCGTTCCTCGATGGAATACTGTCTGCCAATTCGGTTCGGTGTGGCGATACCTTGGTATTGTATGGCCAATACAGTGTTCTCTGGCGTGGGGCGCAAGGCAGAAGACCGTAACCAAGGTGCACGCAAGGGAAAACCCCTAATCCAGTTTAGCATTACGAAACACCTGCACTAAAATTAGCATTATCAACTTTTTAACTAAGGGCGGTGGAGAGTAATTTTCAAGACAAAGCAAGAAAACAACACGCTTGCAAATGCGCAAGTTCACATCTCCCCGTCCAGGACACTTCATTGATAGGGTGTAAAGGGGTTTCGTTCAAACGGTTTTCTTCCTTTCTCATCAAGTACTGTTCTCACCAGGGAATAATGGCTCCACTGCTTAGAGCCTGCAACTGATAATGATTGTTTAAAGGGCAATGAGCAGGGAGTAGTAAAATACCGGTATTCTTCTACCCCCTCAGGGGGTAATAAGAAATCCATGCTTTTCACACCGTAGGTAGAATTTCATCAAGTTAAAAAAAAAGATTCACGTTTCGCGTGAGACTCGGCTGGAAGTTAACAACAACCATAATAATGAAGGGGGCAAAACGAGGACTACAATATTGTGAATAAATCACATAATACTGTTCAAACAGCGACGAGGAGTAACGCCAAATAACTGTACAAACCATAATTATCATTCTGTACACACAGTAGTACAGATCAAGGTCTAAGTACTTGCACGTGTGCAATGTTTCCAACACAGCTAGGTGTAGTTCATGTTCACCACGTGACACTGCCACGTGACACTACCACGTGACACTGCCACGTGATACTGCCACGTGACACTGCCACTGACACTGCCACGTGACACTACCACATGACACTACAGTGAAATAGCACATAACTGTACAACTCATGGCAGCTAGCATGTACAAACAGATCCAGTTGATGGATGATGGTCGATTGTTGACTGGTGTTGTTGTTGTCACCTCCAATGTTCCTTTTGGGTCGATCCTTCCCTTGAGGCTTTCCCAGAGCGAGTCTGAGCGGTGTTTACGCTGTGCGGTGCTGGAATGATTGCCGAGTCGGGGGAGATGGATGCTGTGCGGGGAGTGAGTGTTTGTTTAAAGCTAGTTGATATCATGTGAAGAGGCAGTGTCTGCTGTGTAGTGTGTCAGTGTCTGCTGGGTGTATTACGGTTTGGTACGGAGAGTCTGGGTACTTGCCCTTGTGACTTGGGAAGGGCGGGGGCCATCAATCTCACTTTGCCTTGGCTGTGCTACTGCTGATGGTGTCTTGCTTGTTTGCGATGGTGTTTGCAATGGTGTTTGCACTGATGTTGCTGATGGTGGCAGTGGCAGTGGGGTCACAGCAACTTCAGATCTTGACTGACCTTTGCCGGTGCGGTCCTTTGCAAGTGATATCTCTAACTGTTTGAACAGCGCCTCAATTTCCGGTATGGAGTGGATGAATTGTGTGAAATCCTCCAGGTCGATGAAGCCTACAACAATAAGACGGTGAGACATTTCAAGTATGGTGAGACCTGTCTAAGACGACCGCTCAATCGACAAAATGTGGTCTCTGTAACCAGGTGGTCTCTGTAACCAGGTGGTCTCTGTAAATAGGTGTCTCTGTAACCAGGTGTCTCTGTAACCAGATGGTCTCCTTAGGCAGGGTTATTTGACTGGAGGATAGCATTCCTACAGTGTAGGTCCCGCTTTTAGCGGCCTTTTAGAACAGGTGGTCACCTCGACAAGCTTCACTGTGTTTGTAAAATATACATCCACCAGTCAGGCACCATCTTCCTTAACCGAATGTGCCCCCGTCCCCAACTCAATGTGCCCACATTTGCCCGCCTCCTTGACCCGACGCGCCCCTTTCCCCAACCCAATGTGGCCCCCTTCCTCGAGGCAAGTCCCCCCCCCCCCCCCCGCCCCCAATGTCATACTTTGAACTGTAAGGACTGCCAGGTCGGAACAAGTACAGCAGCTCTAGCTAGGGAAACCAAAGCTGTCCTTTATCTGATCCAAAACCATGTTTACCATGGAAATTCTGTTGGTTCACGCGAAATTTCAGTTTAATCTGTATGTTCTAGTCCCATCTACAACTGACAATGAAAATATTAACGGCTGAGTGCGCTGCACATCAACGTTGAATTTGGAAGTGTCCTTACTCTGATGGATGCACGCAAGCGTAAGTAGTATAGGAGTATTTATTCATATTTCTCTAGGGCAGACCCCACAGACCTATGGTCTCCTTACGGGAAGTGCATGTGTATGTGTGTCTGTGTGCACATGCGTGTGCGTATGTGTGTGTGTGTGTGTATGTGTGTGTGCGTATGTGTGTGTGTGTGTCCGCGGTGTATCTTAGAATTCTTGCCAGCCCAGCAGTCCAGCCTGACAACAAACAGTTCCGGCTTGGCTAGTTGTGCATTGCTTTCCGACCAGCTACTTTGAAGCTAGTTCATCAGACTCATACCAGTGATGTATGTGTGTGTGTGTGTGTGTGTGTGTGTGTGTGTGTGTGTGTGTGTATGTGTGTGTGTGTGTGTGTGTGTGAGGCCAACAGTGCCTGAGGTGGGGTATTCACCAACAGGAGACTTGGTCGGATAGTTACGATGCCGACACTCTCCTCGTCGCCCCGACCTCGGAGTCCTTCGCGAGGCTTTGCAAGCCTGCGAGTGGAGCAAACTACCGCACGAAGACGACGACTTGGAACGACTCTGAGCGTTGGCTCATGGAATGTTCGCTCTGTTGTGGAGAGTGATGGACCACTTCTAGCGGCAGCCATGAGAGGAATCGTTTCCGATGATAAGCCAGATCCATAGCTGCTGGAGATGGCTCTCTCGAACATGGTCCCGCTCGTCGTTCTATTGTCGGCCCCGTAAGGGGACACGTGACCGTAATGGCAGTGTTTACCAGTACCAGTACCAGTGTGTGTGTGTGTGTGTGTGTGTGTGTGTGTGTGTGTGTGTGTGTGTGTGTGTGTGTGTGTGTGTGTGTGTGTGTGTGTGTGTGCGTATGTTTGTGTGTGTTTGCATTCGGCATACACAATACACTGTGCGCTGCCCACAGTTCAGTGCACTGTTCCCTGTACACATTACACTCTACACAATACACTGTTCAATTCACTGTACACATTACACATTACACTGTTCATTGCTCCCTGTACACATTACACTGTTCATTGCTCCCTGTACACATTACACTGTTCAATTCACTGTACACATTACACATTACACTGTTCATTGCTCCCTGTACACATTACACAATACACTGTTCAATTCACTGCACACAGTACACATTACACAGTACACTGTTCAGTGCTCTGTGCACAGTACACAGTACACATTACACAGCTGTTCATTGCTCCCTGTACACATTACACAATACACTGTTCAATTCACTGTACACATTACACATTACACTATTCATTGCTCCCTGTACACGTTACACTGTCCACTGTCCACTGTTCACTGTTCACTGTTCACCAGTTGAGCTGCACTAACACTATCACTATACAGTCAGACCTCGCTTATCTGGTCCTCTTCTATCCGGATCCCTCGCCATCCGGAAGAAAATAGCTGGTTACAGAAATACAGCATGCGGGATGCATCCAGCATAATCAGTGTTTGATTATCCGGTCCCCTCGTCAATCCGGACATTTTTGTGGAAAACGGATGTGTGCGGTTAAGCGAGGTCTTACTGTATCAGAATTGTACTCTACGTGGATACCTTGTTGTTTGTGGTCAGCAGCAGAAAGAAGGATATCCACTCGTTCTTCTATTGCGCTCTGCAGCGAAAAAGAAGAAGAAGAAAAACAATGACAAGAGCGACAACTTCTCCCCTAGTCGTCGCGGTTACCCCATCACTTATCGGCGCTTCTCTCCTTGTCACCACATTTCTCTCATCTGTTCAGCCCTTCTTCAAACCAGAATAATATTTGCTCAAATTTTAAAATGTTCATTGACGGCTACAAAGGGACCACAGTAACAACAAGAGTGCAATGGTAATTTTATTGTTACAATGGTCTGCGAAGCATGGAAACACGGGGTTTGAACCCACGACCCATCGTAACCCCGCCCGAGTAGGCACGGAATGAGGACACAGCCTGTTGGGGCGGGGGAGCAGTGTATCAAGAAGGACCCATGAGTGTGTGATCCCCGATAGCCTGATCGGTAGGGCACTGTCCCGGAAAGACAGGGGTGCTGGGTTCGAATGCAGCTCGTGGATCCTTCCTTTGCAACAGCTGCCATGCAGTTACCATGCAGTTGCCATGCAGTTACCATGCAGCTGCCATGCGGTCACCTTGCTGTCATCATGCTATCACCATGCAGCTACCATGCAGTCATCATGCAGTTACCATGAAGTCATCATGCAGTTACCATGCAGTAGCCATGCAGTTACCTGAGAAAGAGTCGTGTCAGCAGAGAGCCGCACTAAGCCACCAATGCTTGCTTTATCCAATACTGTCTTGTGTGGTCCTGTCAGGATCTTGAAGATAGCTGACGGAAAGAGGCAAGAGTAGTAGTAGTATTCTTTTATTCCCGTAGCTATGCAGAAGACGTTACTTCAGTAACGTCTGGCGCTAGCCAGGGTCCACACAGCTTTAATTTGGTGTTTGTGTGTTTGTGTGTTTGTGTCACGCCTGGCGCTATCCCGTACCTGTCCCGTACCGTACCGTATCATCAAACACAGCTGGCCACATACAGCTGGCCGCATTATTCAAATAGGGCTTTCAAACGCAAGATCATAACGTGAAGCAACTTGGAAGAATGAGTATGAATGCGAAGTGCAGGGGGGAATGCATGTAGGGCGATAGTGCGGGTTCGAATCCCAGGTAATGCCTCTAAAAAAAGGAAAATTGAAAAATTAATAACATTCCTATTCTGTTTTTGCCGTCATCAAGGCGGTAGATGGTGTCGTATTACCCTCGACCGTACCTGTCCCGTACCCGTCCCGTACCTGTCCTGTACCTGTCCCGTACCTGTCCCGTACCGTACCATACAATCAAAGACGGCTGGCCACAATGCATATTCAAATACGGCTTTCAAATACAAGGTCATAACGTGAAGCAACTTGGAAGAATTAGTATGTATGCGAAGTGTATCGGGGGATGCATGCAGGGCGATAGTGCGGGTTCGAATCCCAGGTTTATATGTCTAAAAACAAAAAGTAGAAATTTATAAAAATTTATAACATCCCTATGCTTTTTTGTCTAGGGGTGCGTTTGGTTGGTACGATCTAGAACAGGATCGAACAGCTGGTGCACATGGAGCAGCCTCATGCCAACCAAACGCTACTCCAGAAACAGAGCACATTTTTGTGGAAAAATGTGCCAAACTTGGTGCATTCTTCAAAATGTGTATGGATCACCATGGTCACTTTGTACGGTACGACGAGTCCAACCCAAAAGCGTATGCACGTGATCATTTGGGAGCAAAATCGATGTTCCCGCCAGGTTTCACTGTGAAAAAGTGAAACTGCTCGGTCTGCTCCGGCCTCGAGGCCGGAGCAAGCAGAACATGTTCTGGCCGACCCAGAACAGGTGCAGTCCCAACCAAACGCGCTGTTCTGGTGAATCCTGTTCTAGTTCGTACCAACCAAACGCGCCCTAGGTCATCAAGGCAAAAAAGCATAGCGTAGGGCCCTGAGCTTCCAAGCTCTCTCGTTTATAGAGGAGAAACCAAAACAGGCAGATGCCTAATAAAAATGGACCCACTGTAAGGGCACACAACAACTTCAGCAAGTGCTCGTCCCAGGTCGGCAGAGCTGCCTAAACCTCCCCACTACTGCCAGAATTCATGTCATGCGTCCTTCCCCAGCTGCAGCTCATGTTTGGCATCGAAGTGGTCTTTTTTTGTGTGTAAAAAACCCCAAACCAAAACCAAAACCTAAGCTTCAACAACAGCACGATTGAATTATCATTCACAGCACAGTCAGTGCAGAAGTTAACCAAAGTTGAACTTTTGTGAACTACCTGAATCACTTCACTCCGTTTATTGTTTCTTCTTACAGGAGAACATGTAAATGCCAGCACTCTGATAGGGCAAACACCTGTGCCAGACATACACTACACCAAGGACTAATAAATGCATAGAATTTCCAGTCAAATTACCCTGCACGGGGAACCCCCTCCACAAGGGAACAGACTTTGACCGGGGATCCCCCTTTTCGTGTGTGCTGTACACCAAGCGATTAATGACATCTATAGACATGCTGAGATTTGCGCACTATATCGTGCCTTTCCGAGGCACGATGGGATAGTTTCGAAAGGACATGGAAGTTGCACTGCCAAGGATATTGAGCCGAGACCTACCAGGATGGATTCTCGTGGTCCTGATCCTTCCAACAAGCCCAGGGTGATAAAATCAATAAATGCGAACTGAAATGAGAGAGAAATTCGTTCGGGCCTGTGCGCAAAACCGACACCAGGAGATTCAGTGCGATGGAAAGGCAGTGTGCTGGAGAAAAAGGGTATAACCCCTGATTGTTCGGGCTAACTGTTATAGACAGCTTTCAGTGTTTAACCCTTGATTGATGGGGCTATAGACATATTTCACCGCATAACTCAAACGTGTTAATGATCCTACAGACTACAGGAAACTCAGTGCGACTGCGCTTTGCACCAACGACCCTCAGTGCGACTGCGCTTCGCACCAACGACCCTCGCACCAAGGAAATTTTCGTAACTTTTTTGAACTTACATCCTGTCTGCAGCTGGATTGCATGCAGATTCCAGGTATACAAGCCTTCCACCAGGTCTTCAAATACGTAAAACTCGTCCGGGAGTGAGTACAACCCCGTTCCTGTCTCCATGGTTACCGATCTGGCCATAGCTCTGTTAGCATAGGCTGAAGTGGTGGGTGTGTGAAGTGGCAATGTGCGGAACACCTAGGCCAGGAAAGTGTACATACCCAGAGCATAGGAAAGTATCAAAAAAATTGTGCCAAGAGCTCCAGGATTGGAGTCCATTCTGATTTGAATCATGTATCCTGATTGGTTTAATCGTCAATTTAATGTAGGCATGGGCGTAGCAGCTCTGGCCAGGCCACTTCTTTTTTTCACACAATGCCAAAAGTGCCCAGAATGCAGGATTTTGCACTCCGATTTCAAATCTGTCTCGAGGGAGATCCCCCCCCCCCCCCCACCCTGCCGCCTCCGGCCAGACCATCTCCAACGGCAGTGCTGCGCGCTTGGTAGGTGAATCAGTGTCTGCTCCAGCGCCGGGTGAGCCGGGTAATCCACCCGGTTGGGCGGCGCTTGGACCCGGTTGAAAATATAGTACCGGGTCCCCTGTGACCCGGTTGGTACTTTTACACTTTCGAACTTTGAAAGGACTGACTACATGGCTTGTATGTGTCAGATACTTCTTTTTCTTTCGTAATTTTCTAATTCCTGTCCTCTCTTTTCTAAATGCGGCTTATCCATTCGCCCTTATATCATTGGGCCTAGTTCCCGTTTATTGTCAGAATTAAAATAAACCAACCAACCAGGTACATGTGTACCCGGCTCCGACCCGGTTGGAATGGTTGCGCCAGGTACACGTGTACCCGGCTGTGCTACAATCCTAGAGCAGACACTGGTGAATATACCAGCATACAATCTACCAGCATACAATATATCAGCATACAATATATCAGCATACAATATATCAGCATACCAGCCCGGCAAAGAACCACATTTTAGCCAGGTCGGTGTGGATATGGATGTTAATTGTTATTATGCAAGCTAAGGTTCACTGAGTTTCCTACAAGCATGGGGGTGTCTGCCGGTAGAATTTGAAACTCCTTGTTCACTATGGAATGGTCGTGATTAGATTCCTTGAATTCCGCTAAAGACACCCATGAAATCGATCAGTGTCTGCATCGGTATGAATTCTGGACCATTCAGAATGTGTGTAATTAAATGCCTCCACTTCGCCGCCATTGCAAACCCAAATACAACAACAACAGCAACATGCTCTTACCAGTTGGAGATTTGTGTCACGTGTTTGTAGTGTGTGCAGTTTGCTAGCGTCCAGCACACCTCTCCTATCACCACCTAACTGTACGAACCTTCTCCATAACACTTCCGTCTCAAAACCCGGCACTGACGAACGGCAGTGAGTGATGGAGACAATGCCAAACCATTACACACACATACATGTAGAAAGACACACACACACACACACTTACACAGACACCATGTACCATACACACACACACACACACACGTACAAACACACACGCAATGAGAACAGTACAAAGAAAAACACAAAATGACATTGACTTGGGTGTTACAGTGGAGTCATCCCATTCCGGCACCCCGCCCTACTCCTCTTTGTCCTGGCATTGCCCCCCCCCCCCCCGCCCTACTCCTCTTTGTCCTGGCATTGCCCCCCCCCCCCCCCGCCCTACTCCTCTTTGTCCTGGCATTGCCCCCCCCCCCCCGCCCCAGCGGCCCCACTCCTTCTTGTCCCGGCATTGCCCCCCCCCCCCCCGCCCCACTCCTTCTTGTCCCGGCATTGCCCCCCCCCCCTAATGTGTATGTGTACGTGATGTCATGGAAACCGCTTTGCCACGGGTCAGGGCAACCCTGCGCGTGAGCTCATATTATTCGTTTGAGTTTCTTGAAGAAGTTAGATGTTTGTCCCAGGACTCCTTTTGTTCTCTGAGAGTGAGAGTTGGACACGCAGAGCTAGAGGCGAACATAACACCCCTCTCTCTCCCCCCCCCCCCCCTCCCCCTCTTCCCCGCAGTCCCTGTACAGGCAGACAATCCAATTATCCTGGCCCCAGCAGTCCCTGGTGCTGATAGTGCCTGCTATCGGCTATCCCCCGTGTCCCTGACATGATATTCATACCGAGAGCATACACCGCTAGCATCCAGGTCAGTGACATAGTCATTGCTGCATGATGACCTGGTGAGTCGGACTCACCTCCATATTTCTCTGCTACGTGATACACGTAATCTTGCCTATTGCTCTCTTCATAGAACTCGCCTTGTGCCACCGACTCACTGACGCTACCCGTTCTAGCTGTTCCAGCTGCACTGGGTCCTGCTGTAGTGTTACCACTACTGCCGGAATACTCGCTACTGAGATCGAACTGAGCTGCTCCCATTCTGCAAATCTGGTACTACAGTACGGAACGTGGACCAAGGAAGAGACGGCAGAATGGTACATTCAATTTCATTCCGCTAATACTAAATGGTATACTAGTAATGGACCTAGTACACTTCGAAATGTTCACATCAATGATTTTGTCCATGTCAGAGATTGTCACGAAAGCTAGCTACTGGTCTACTCAGGCTAGTGTTTCCCGCGACAAGGACTCGGTTCAAATTCGGGAAATCGCTAGCTGGTGAACAGGAACACCCTCAAAACATTTTCAGACGGGACGGAATTTTCTGACCACCAGCCAACACTGTAACTGAGGGGAAGTAATTTTTAAAAGTTTTAGTTACTAACGTCTTGCTGATGTGAAGGTCAGAAGCGGTAGTCCGCACAGAGACTTTTGTCCCAGTCCGTTTGAGGGCTTCCACTGTTCCAGCTCAAGCGAAGACTTCACTCAGATCTCTTTAGTTTAGGTTCTCATTCATTGATGACCGCGCGCTGTCTCTCAATGCCAGTCTCCGTCATGCTGTGATGTTTGAAGAAAATGCAACCATCCTGTCATGACAACAAGCCATGCAAGCTGCTCGGCCGGGCGCGGGCACGCGTGTACGTGTGTGTGCAGTACGAGGATTGATTTTTGATTTTCGAACATTTTTGAAAAAGCGACAGCTACAGACTACAGTCATGTGTTCGTACGTACACTGCTCTGTGGATGTGAGAAAAATTCACCCAAATCCGAATCGCCGAGAGTAGTTCGTCTTCTGTACAATGTAGTCTACTCTCTCTAAACTTTCTCTTATTAGCTGGTGAACGTTTGTAGCCGACAGTTCTACCTTTGAGAGTCTGACACATTGAACGTGACTGATGTATCCTCTCAGACGGGTGTTGTTGGATCAGAAATTCGTCAGAACCATGTCGCAGGTAATTTGTGAAAGTAATTATTTGGAGCATAAACCATCAAGGAACAACGTAGTGATTTGTGTATCCCCGTGGTATTGACAACGTAGGTGGGGTGGGGCGAGGGTATACTACATGTACTGTTCAGTGATCCCTCGTGTGTGCGTTCAGCGAAGTTTGTGAATCAAGAGAAGACTTCAGACACACTTTGAACGTGTTCAAAAAATTAAACTCTCAATGTTGTCTAGGTGTGCCACAACATTTTCTAATTTTCATTGGCAATTGCTCCTAGAAGGAGCACGAGCATTTGCTGCAGACAAGTCGAAATGGAGATCAGACATTGTTTATGGATGAGTTTTTTGTTGACTGGAGACAGAAGCGGACTTGGCTTAATTTCAGTGTATTCTCATGCATTGTTCTTTGGCCTTTGTACGCGTACTGTGGTATTATTATTATTATTAATATAATATGCACTGAGCGAGGCAGCTGTAGTAAAATAAGCGAAGGTACGGCTTCATTAGCTAGAGATAACCTCACTGCAGGATTGTAACTTCTTTTTTTGTTCTAATTGTAATGTTCATACGATGCGGCACTACCCGTGAAACCGATTGCAGAATTCTTTGAAAATGCATTGCATTGTGTGGGATTGCATACAGTTGCAGTTGCTGATCCATGATAACAATCACTATGCCATGATCACACCAACAAGCGCGTGCCTGTGTGTGCGTGTCCGTGTGTGCGTGCGTGCGCGTGTGTGTGTATGTTTGTGCACGTGTATGTGTGTGTTCACGTGTACATGATTTGTTTTCAGTTAGCTAAGCCGGTTGAACAGAGCATCACCAGCAAACTAAGCTCACAATTCAGTGTAAGCAGTTGATATCCTTGCACTGTGTATGTTATTACATCTATATGTACGGGTAGACATGTACCCACGCAAGCACGCGTGGGTGCGCGCACGCACGCACACACACACACGCGCACACACACACAAACACACACACACACACACACACACACACACACACACACACTACTTGTACTTGCTCACTGCCAAAACTGGTCACGTGGGTCTCCCCGGGAGAGGGGAGAGAGACTCAAAAGGAATCTTGGAAAGATGACTCAATTGGCCATTGAACCACCCAATGGCCGACACCCCCTGAAATCCCCAAACTAGGGTGGACTTGAAATGATCCCACTTATGGGCTCACCACACCCCAGTAAGTGGGTGAGGACAAGGTGCAGAAAAAGGATTGACGGCATCAGGGTATCCATCCCGCGATCCAACTGCAGGTACCCCTGCCCCCAGTGAAAGTAATACTTGGTACTAGTGTGGGTGGCTAAATTAGAGCGTTATCAGATTCACACACATATACACACACACACGCACACACTAATGTGTTATCTATGCATAACAGCTGTTAAAGGGGAAGTATACCCTAAAATCAAATTTTCACCAGTTGTAGTCTTCTGGGTGCTGAGTCGAATGGTCTTGGTCCGAGGAAGCTGCGGCGCTCCCTTCCTACTTGAATCCCAATCGAACTCGCGCACTTCCACCGAAACTGGGTGACTGCGCCCTACTAGATGGGGATTTGTATGCAAAATGTCACTAAAAGCGCCATTTCGTTCTTATAAAAGCACGGATGACCGCGATTGGCCCATATGTTGTAGTCTTTTGGACGCTGAGTCGACTGGTTTTGGTCCGAAAAGGCTGCGATGCAGCGTTCCTCCTTTATTCCCAATCGAACATGGTTGAAGAAGCGGTCACGTGCTCCTGCGTACACCAGTCAGCTGGTCACCGTGCCTGCAGGGTACAACTTACTAGCCTGTTTGACCTTTTTTGGGTGCAGTCCTGTCACTCGAGTTGAACTCGAGTTGAACCTTGGTGTGAAAGTTGTCGCCTGCTGGCGCGGTGACCAGGTGATTTGGGCACCCAGGAGCACGTGACCGCTTGTTCAACCATGTTCGATTGGGAATAAAGGAGGAACGCTGCATCGCAGCCTTTTCGGACCAAAACCAGTCGACTCAGCGTCCAAAAGACTACAACATATGGGCCAATCGCGGTCATCCGTGCTTTTATAAGAACGAAATGGCGCTTTTAGTGACATTTTGCATACAAATCCCCATCTAGTAGGGCGCAGTCACCCAGTTTCGGTGGAAGTGCGCGAGTTCGATTGGGATTCAAGTAGGAAGGGAGCGTCGCAGCTTCCTCGGACCAAGACCATTCGACTCAGCACCCAGAAGACTACAACTGGTGAAAATTTGATTTTAGGGTATACTTCCCCTTTAATGTAACACCTCTGGTTGCAGAATTGCTTTGGATACATTATGCTTGTACTGGTGAATGCGTGTTGTTTGTTGTTTTCTTCATTTGAATTCGCTAGAACCGAACGGACAGAACTGTCCAGTGACAAGGGAGCGAGTGTTCCCTGGTGTGTGTAGTCTATGAGTATAGAACGATTTTGCATCTCAAATTAACTGTTGGCGTTGTGGACTTTTCAGTGGAGACACTAGAATGCGAACATGCACTCCCCCCCCCCCCCCCCCCAAACAAAACTAGTCAAAACACGAGTCTTGGATTGTTATCAGGACAGTGCTAAACCCACTACATTGCACTCCGTTGCACTGCCAGTACACATAACTTGTACGATATGTCCCACGTCATGCAGACCCGAATTCTGTTTGTTCCTCTACAAGTTTCGAGTTTTTTATGACTTCGCCTTTGTTTTGGCACGCACACCCAAATGCGAAATCTGTGTTGCTTTCACGTTTGTCATATTTGTTGTGCAATGCTGCACCGCACAACATAGTTCGCACAGGGCTTTGAAAGCCTTGGAAGTGCTTGAATTTTGAAAATCCTTCAAGGCCCTTGAAAAGTTCTTGAATTTTTGGAAAAAAGCCTTGAAAAACGGTTTTTTGTTCAAGAGAGACGCCTCTGCGAGCCGGAAACGCAAGGCTGATGCGACTCTGGAGCTTGAGGCGAAGAAAAAATGCCTAGCCTACACGAATGGACCTTGGAATGGCCTTCAACATTTTCTATGTGTTTTCGTATGAACCATGAGTGGAGCTGAATGAAAGTCGATTGTTTAAGTCTAGTTTGTGCCCTGCACCAGTTCACATGCTCGTGTTCACATCCCGCTGTTCACATGCCAGTGTTCACATCCCGCTGTTCACATGCCAGTGTTCACATGCCACTGTTCACATCCCGCTGTTCACATGCCAGTGTTCACATGCCAGTGTTCACATGCCAGTGTTCACATGCCGCTGTTCACATGCCACTGTTCACATCCCGCTGTTCACATGCCAGTGTTCACATGCCAGTGTTCACATGCCAGTGTTCACATCCCGCTGTTCACATGCCAGTGTTCACATGCCAGTGTTCACATGCCGCTGTTCACATGCCAGTGTTCACATGCCAGTGTTCACATGCCGCTGTTCACATGCCAGTGTTCACATGCCAGTGTTCACATCCTGCTGTTCACATGCCAGTGTTCACATGCCAGTGTTCACATGCCGCTGTTCACATGCCAGTGTTGGCAGGGCTGGGGTTATATAATGCCCAGCGTGGCATTGACTCGCTTGATCGGATTTCGGTGTGATCAACACTGTCGATGGCTTATGTGTTGCGTAGTAGCTATGGTAACAAGAGTCTATCGGTTTGCTTGTAGTAATTCCTTTCGTTCTCCTTGTCTCTCATTCTCTTCTTTTTTCAGCCACAGCACTTGCAAGTCATCAATGAGAGCTATATGCACAATGTGCCGAGAGGTGAGAATGCGTACCGTAAAGTCGCGGATAAAAGCCGGGTTTGCATACAAGCACATCGCGGATAGAAGCCTGAAAATCAAACGGGTCAAATGCATTATAAGCCTGTCGTGCATAGAAGCCTGGCTTCTATGCAAGCACGGATCGGGTAGGTCAAGAGTGCATGTGCTATGTACGGTGCATAGTAAAACTGCCGCCATACCGGTAGTCAGTGGTAGATCTACGCGTGTCGATGTGCATACAAGCCTGGCAAAAGTATCAGTGGTGCATATAAGCATGGTTTGCATACAAGCCTGGTTTGCATTAAAGCCTGATGCAAAAAGCGGCTTATATGCTTATAAGCCCGGCTTTTATCCGTGACTTTTTGGTATCTATCTTCTTGTTGTCTATGTGCATGTATGTAGTGTATTGTGCAGCATGTGAGCTTGAGGGGGGGGGGGGGGGGGGGGGGGATGGGGAGGAGGCATCTTTTTTTCTTTACTTTTTTTTATGTGTGTGTGTGCATGTGCATTATTTGAGTGTGTGGATTAGGGGGTCTATCTTTCTTGTTTGTTGACATGTGTTCATGCTTCTGTGTGTGTGCGTGCGTGTGTGTGTGTGTGTGCGTGTGCGTGTGTGTGTGTGTGTGTGTGTGTGTGAAGGGGGGGGGGGGATTTTAGTTTTGGCTAAGCCTTTCATCCTGTCTCATATAGTCCTCTGACCATAGTGTTGCAACTATGCTGCAATATGTTTCCAGTCCTCTGGCGGTTGGGGATGCAGGGTGGTGGGCTGTTAGGCAGTTCAATATCCCATTGAGTCATTTTTGCAAGGAGTCTTGAATCTATCTCCGCTTCCCCGAGGGTAGACCCATCTGACCAGTTTCTGGCAGTGAGCGATTACAAATAGAAGTGTGTGTGTGTGTGTGTGTCTGTGTGTGCGTGTGTGTGTATGTGTGTATGTCTGTGTGTATGTCTGTGTGTATGTGGTTTTTCAGGAGCTGAGACTCATTTCCGAGTAGTTGTCGTATCGGACCAGTTTGAAGGAATGAATCTTGTGAAGGTAATCCAGTGGCCATATGTAGATTAGGGTTGGTTCACATATCGCTAGCAGGGCTGCCACTTGCTCCAATTTTTCAGAAATCGTCCGATTTTTGATCACCTGTCGGGCAAACCGACCGATTTTTTTCCCAACGAGGGACAACCGATTATTTTATTTTCAGCGCGTTTAGTCCAGTTGGCCATTCGGCGCTTCCAGGTGGCGTTTGGCCAGTCATTGTACCTGTACATGTACATGTAGGTGTAAAATGCACGCTCTGCTTGCGTGTGTGTGGACAGTTAAAAATGTGTTCTGGGGCCCCAACAGCAAGCCATTTTCCTTCTTCCTCCGCGTCATCGAAATTGTCGCAGTTTGACTTTTGATATAAAACGGGGTATTTACTCACCAGCACTTGTACCAGAGGCAAGGAATCGGACATAGGCGATAGTCATCAGTATAGGGTGACGGCGAAGTTCTATTTTCTGTTATTGGAAGCTGGAATTTTTGAACTAGACGCAATTTCTTCGCTGATGTCGCTGCGATGGTAGTTTCGACTCGCTGAGATCAGTCAGGCGTTGCAGCCTGCACATTTCTCGTGCTTATGGCCATTCACTCAAGCCTCAACACTGTTTTACCTTAGCTGGGGTGAGAATGACTTTGTGGAACAAGTGGCAGCGCTTGGAGAAACACCGAGGGGTCAGCAAACTAAATGCATGCAACAGCGATAAAATTCGTCGCTCTGGCTGAGACACTCAGTACATGATTGTACCTGCAAGAGCCGTGTAGACTCTACACGTAGACCTAGTGCTAGTGATGCACGCGCAGGTGCCGTGCCATGGTATACCAGTGATGCTGAAAAAGAGGGCGAGCTGGATGTGATAGTACACTTATCTGCATGAGCTGTGACCACCAGTAGCACTGACCACACAGCTAAAATAAATGGGTATGCCACTGCTAAAAAAAGTTCATTTCAAGATCGAGGTGATTCCGCCGATGGTAATCAACCGACCTCGCAACGATCGTGTATTCTTACTAGGCTTCGTTGGTGGTGAACAGGGAGTCGTAAAATACCGTATTTTACGACTCCCTGGTGGTGAAGTAGACATCATCCAGAACTAGCAGACGACAAGCATAGCAGCTCTTGTCCTGTGGAGAAAGTCAAAGCGTTTGAGATGAGGCGCGACCAACTTTCAACCTTCCTTGAAATATTTCGGAACGATATTTTTGGGTCCATTGACATCAGCGACGACGAGGACTTCATCTCTGCATGAAAACTCTCAGTCCAACTGTCCTGGAACGTTACTCTAGTAGGGGTGAAACGCGTATCTATTTTGACCAATCGATCACTCATTCATAATATTCGATCGAGTATCCGATTATTTCGAGTATTTTATCGAAATTCAAAAGCGCTAGATTTGTGAGTTCTCGAGCAATTCGGAAGAAATTATCTCTGAACATAGAACAAAAGTCGCCAACGTCTTGTACAGAGTGTAAAGTAACGATTTTCACCAGTACTTTCATTATCTCAAAACAAAATAACGTTACTTGCCGTGGTGATCGCATCATCCAAGTCATAAAATACTGACTCAAAGGCACGAATAATGCATGCATACCAGCAAGAGTGCATAAACATGTTTATGGACTCTTGATACCAGTCGATGAGCAGTACAACGGAAGTTTTTGAAAAATAAAAGGCCAGTACTAAAAAAAATAAAAAAATAAAATAAAAAAAAAAAAAAACGATCGAGTGCAAAATTTCGAATACTCGCTCGTTTGAGATTTTCGAACGAATACTCGAATATTCGAACTAATCGTTTCACCCCTATACTCTAGTCTTCAGACTATCATACTGTGTAATAAGTTTTGAAAGGTTTAGCTTATGGAAGTGACAATTTTGTGTCACTAGTCAAACTGCGACAATTTTGATGACGCGGAGGAAGTAAACTTTTTCACAGGGGGACACCCACGGACCCCCGTCAGATTTTTCTCCCTCCAGGTGTGGCCGCCCTGCACTAGTATAAGGGTTGCTTCACATATCACCAGTAAAGGAGTTGGTTCACATATCACCAGTATAAGGGAGCATCTCATAAGTTCGCATTTATTCCCGTAGCTATGCAGAAGACGTTACTTCAGTAACGTCTGGCGCTAGCCAGGGTCCACACAGCTTTAATTTGGTGTTTGTTTGTTTGTTTGTGTCACGCCTGGCGCTATCCCGTATCTGTCCCGTACCGCACCATCAAACACAGCTGGCCATTTGCTGGTTTCCGTATCGGTCCCGTACCGTACCGTACCATCAAACACAGCTGGCCACAAACAGCTGGCCACAATATTGGTCGTATTATGTACATGTATACGACTCCCTGTGTGTTGCAACTGTGCTTGCAGGGGACGGTTGCACTTTTTGTAGCTCCGTTTTATCTGAGTTTTCAGTCGTTCCTCTTACATGTACTAGTCTTGCCAAGGGAGTGGCTCTAGGTCCACCAGAGTCGCCCCTGGCGTGTTTCTGAATTTGCTGGGGCGAGGGTTCCCGTCGCCAAGGCAGTGTCTTTTCAGTCACGACCGTTGTCGTCCTCGTCTTTCCATTCGCGGTAGTGTAGCTGACCCCCGAATGGTTTCAAACTGCGAAGCTCGGAGGAGTATAGTGGTGGCAGAGGCATGAGCTGTGAGTGGAGGCGGTTACTGGAGATGGATGGTGATGCAGGGAGAAGAGTTACGCTGCCTGACGACGCGTGGGAAATTGTTTGAACCTGCAATTGCAGTTCGAGCGCGGTGGACTCCTAGACGATGTGTCCTCATGGCTGTTCTTCAACGCTTGGCCTATCGCTGATATCCCTGCGTGGGATGTTCTTCCATTGGAGTCCAGGTGGGACTTCAGGTGCCCACACTCCATCACATGGTTGATTGTTTCTGAACTGCAAAAATAATTACTGTTTCCTTTTTGTGCGCATCTCTTGTCATCTCTCTTTTCTATACGTCGCACACCAGATGTACTACTATCCCTGTCTTTTCCTTGCTATCTCTCTCTGCTTGCTTTTTTTTATTTTTTTTATTTATTTTTTTATTGAAAAACCACAAACCTTCAGACATGTGAATGTGCACATGATACTTTTTGTTTCTGTTGCCACTGTCCCTCATCATACCCATGCTTGGGTGGAGCGCGGCGTGACCCGTTAGGGTAGCTGTCAATAGAGTACGACTCCCTGATGTATAGGGAGACTTTCTGGAAAGAAATAGGAAGACGAGGAGGAAATAATATTAGAATGGATGTTTGTTGCCGAATAGGTGATAGGATGCGTCAGCAAAAACATACTTTGGAAGAGAGATCCCGTCGTCCCCAAAATAGGCGTGAACGGGCGAGTCAGCGCCGGTCACAGGAAACGTCGGGAGAGAGATCCTGTCGACTCCAGAACGCCCGTGCGCGTGATCGGCAGAGTCAGCGCCGTCCCAGGAAACATTTCCATCAGTTCCCACAACATGCACGATGAGCTAAGCAACAAAGCATAGCGTAGGGCCCTGAGCTTCCAAGCTCTCTCGTTTTGCAAACGTAACGCATTTCGAATAGACTTTACCCCCCTACCTCCCCCCTCTATTCGAAAGTCTTATCGCACATTTTCTGTGTTTATCTACATGTACTGTACACGTCCATGCCCGATACTATGGTACGCTTATGTACATGTACATGGATATGATTATGAATGTTTTGCTAGTGTGGTAGTGAATGGCATACAGTAGTACTGCATCTACTGAGTACAAGTACAATCAATGACATGTACACGTACATAAACACAGTTCCTCCACAACAACTAAACAGTCTGTACTGCTGTAAAAGCTGACCAGGTACAGGGTTTGATCAGGCTGGTGTGACATTTGACACCTCTGAGTAGCCTACATGCATGTAGTACAGGGTTTAGCTGATCTGCAAACACAGGTAGATCTACACCTAAACACACTCATTTGCTGAAGTGATCTAGAAAATGTGCGAACTGTCATTTTTCTATTCGAAAAGGGCGCTACCCCCTACCCCCGTTTCGAAATGCGTTACGTTTAGAAACAAAATGCGAACTTATGAGATGCTCCCTAAGGGTTGGTTCACATATCACTAGTATCGGGATTGATTCACATATCACCAGTATAGGGATTGGTTCACATATCGCGACAGTACGCATCAGGGACCGGGGTCTAGGCATAGGGGTTAGCACACATCATGGTCAGCTACACGCCGAACTGTGCTAGAGTGGGAACAATGTTAGTTGCAAACAACTGTAAACAGAAAGAGATTGCTGGGCTGAAGGCTGCTTTGTCACACATTTGTATGTACATATTATTAGGGCATGACACCTCCTGTCTATGTACCTATTATTAGGGCATGACACCACCTGTCTATGTACCTATTGTAAGGGCATGACACAACCTGTCTATGTACCTATTGTTAGGGCATGACACCACCTGTCTATGTACCTATTGTAAGGGCATGACACTACCTGTCTATGTACCTATTGTTAGGGCATGACACAACCTGTCTATGTACCTATTGTTAGGGCATGACACCACCTGTCGTAGTTATAGTTAGGTGTGTGTATGGAGGGGGGGGGGGGGGGCAAATAATGATTCGTTTCGAGATGGGGGCACTCTTGAGAGAGTTGGGTACTCCCAAGAAACTGGGCCCTCGAGAGACAGATGGTGTCTGTGTTTGTCTGTGTGTGTGTGTGTGGGGGGGGGGGGGGGGGGGTTGGGTCTTTGTCATTACTTCACCATGGTGTTTGGTCTGTTGCAAACAGTTCTTCAAACTGTAGACTGGTTGAGTCGCAGCAAGACTTGGTGAGCATGTGTATACACAGCATAGCGTCCTGTGCATGCATGGTGCAGTCCCAGCACAACTTGCTGACCATGAGTCCTTCCGAGAAAATATGAATGATTGAATGCCAAAGTGTCTGTCTGGTGGTGTTTTTTTGACACGAAACTCGGAGTAACGAGAAAGCTTTTGGTCTCTGTGGTTGTGCATTGTGAATGATGCTTTTGGTCTCTGTGGTTGTGCATTGTGAATGATGCTTTTGGTCTCTGTGGTTGTGCATTGTGAATGATTGAATGTGTATACTAATATGTAGCTGTACTGCACTTTGTCTTGTTATTATCTATCCTACAGAGACATCGTGCAGTGCAGCATAGTTTGAAAGAAGAACTTGAATCTGGAGTACACGCTCTGTCAATTGAGGTTAGTACAACTGTTTTCTTGTTTGCTTTCAACACATCTTCCATCTCATGTCTCCTCCAGGTTCTTTTTCAACTTATCGATGTCGGCTTCGAGAGGTTGCCCATCGGGATGTTTGAACATCGTATACCGTATTTTCCGGAGTAAAAGCCGCACATTAAACACCAGTATTTCACCCAAGACAATGTAGGTGTGTAGGTGAGGCTTTTACTCCGAAGGTCAAATTAACGGTGATAAATGGGGTCGATGTCTGTATTTCGTGACTAAAAATCTGGATGTGGCTCATACTCCGGAGCAAACGGTAATCTTTTTTAATACAGCCTTAACTCCATAATATGATTCTGGTTGAGTCTATTGAGTTTGGGGATCATTATCTTTGTAAACTCCATGCAAACTTGCTGGGATCCTGGCTGACGCAGCTACGCTGTTTGGCTTGTAAATGTGCAATGAGTTTTAGCCTTGTCCTTGTGCATGCCTGAGATCACACATGTCACCGAGGCTGCTGTGTAACCCAGGCTGCTGTGTCACCGAGGCCCCTGTGTTAGCAAAGCCTGGGGTTAACGTGTGTGTGCGGTCTGTGTGTCAACCAGCCCCACCGAGTTATTGTGTGTGCTGCATGTGTGTCGTCGACCAGCCTGTGGTATGGTTATTGTGTGTTGACCAGCCCGGACTGGAGTTATTGTGTATTGACCAGCCCGCACTGGAGTTGTGTGTTAGCCAGCCTAGACTGGAGTTGTTGTGTGTTAGCCAGCCTAGACTGGAGTTGTTGTGTGTTAGCCAGCCCGGACTGGAGTTACTGTGTTTTAAGCCAGCCCGGACTGGAGTTAGTGTGTGTTGACCAGCCTGGACTGGAGTTATCTTTGTGTCAACCAGCCCGGACTGGAGTTATGGTGTGTTAGCCAGCCCGGACTGGAGTTATCTTTGTGTTGACCAGCCTAGACTGGAGCTATTGTGTGTTGACCAACCAGTGCTGGAGGTGAACAGAACATCCAGAAGATGTTACATAGTGTTTATGTTGCTAGTGGTTACTAGCTATGACTGGTTGACCGGTGTATGGATGTCTGTCCTGCACCTGTGTGGCGGTTAGAATGCTTTTCTCTTGTCTATTCTACATTCACCCAACATGTGTATACTGTGTGTGTGTCCGCTCGTGCACGCGCGTGCACGCACGTGTGTGTGTGTGTGTGTGTACATGTGTACACGTACGTCTGTCTGTCATGCAGGCCAAGACCGGCAAGCAGTGGACAGAATCCGGCAACCAAGTCGGCTCATCTCCGTCGTGCATGGGTGGATTCGGAAAGTGACGACCTTCATCCTTTCAACACTCTAGTACGGAGGTGTCACACAGTACAGTACTTTCGATTGGCAAAGAACTGCGGGTCAGCCTCGTAGCCTACACTGTTCTTATTCTCATCTACTACAGTCTATGCGCAGTTGGGTCACCGTGTCTACATTGGTATGCTGTGCTTGGTGAAATCCTAGCCTGGTCGTTCTTCGGCGCTACCCGACAGTACTGTTTGCAACATCAACGACAGCTCATCGTGGAGAGTATGTATGACATCAATATCATCACCTACTCGTTGCTCACATTGCACCTGACTTTGCTGACCACTGCAGTATAGTGAAAGTCAGTTTCCGCTGCTGCTGCTGCCTTGCACACAAGTATAGCAGTGGTGTATGGACACAAGCATGGCAGTGGTGTATGGACGCAAGTATAGCAGTGGTGTATGGTCGCAAGTATAGCAGTGGTGTATGGACACAAGCATGGCAGTGGTGTATGGACACAAGCATGGCAGTGAGCGGACCCATGGTGTATTGCTGTCCAGCTATCAGTCAGCAGTCTGTCAGTACGTGTTGTATTGCTGCTCCATGTAACAGGCTGTGTGAGTGAGTGTAACTTGTGTGTGTGTGTTTTGGGTGTATGTGTGTGTATGTGTGTTTTGGGCGTATGTGTGGGCGCACACATACCATCATAATTATGATAGGTAGAATGCTGTATTTTGACCTATCCACATGCACGCGGACTATGCTAATGCTCCTCCGTCACTTGATGCTAGCATTCTTCATGCTCAGCGGCAGTGCTAGTCTTACCACACACTGGATACTAGCATGCTGACACGCCGGCGTCTTGTGCGTGACACTGGCTTGAGTGGTTCAGCTTGAGTGACTGGCTGCACTGAACCCTGCTGTATTCTGCTGTATGTCTGCAGGCCATGGCCCACTGAATTCTTCATAGCAGCAAGTTGGATGGTGTTTTGTTTTTTGTTGTTGTTTTTTTTTGCCGAATTGGCAAGTTAGCAGTATACGCTTGTTCTTCTTTCATTTCTGCTACTTCCAGCATGACAGAATAGATTTCTGCTGACATTCTGTCATAGACATCTCCCTTGCTTATGCCACTGCTGTTGACTTGGCTAGTGAGGAATACGTGATAAAACACTGGATGTCTTTTTTCTTATAAACTGGTGTATGGATAAAGTCTTGTGTGTACTCTGGTGGACTATGGTACAGTCAGACCTCGCATAACCGTACACATCCGTTTTCCACAAAAATATCCGGATAGGCGAGGGAACCGGATAATCGAACACACACACACTGTATGTATGCATGGCATATGCTGTAAATCGGTAACCAACGATTTTCTTCCGGATGGTGAGGGATCCGGATAAAAGAGGACCGGATAAGCGAGGTCTGACTGTACCGTAAAGTACCGTTGATCCGCCCCCACGCCATGTCGCTTCCCAGCTGGGTTTTCGGCAGGGGGGGGGGGGGCGGGAATTAGATCAAGGCTGTCAAGTGCAGTACGATGTACAACAACGTAGAGGATCAGACTCAATGTGCTGGATTGTGCACATTTTGATCCTGGATTGGCGAATATTGTGTACAGCAGTGCATGCGTCGGTTCAACATCGTATTTCGTTGTATACGCCGCAGTCGCTTCACAAGGAGAAAATCGGCAGGGGGCGGAGCAACGGTACTTTACGGTACTCTCCACTATTGTAGGCGACAGCTGTCCCTCTTTCACCGAAAAACCAGTCCTTGTGAGGTGTGATAATGCATGCCTGTCAGTGTGTTTGTTGTTGGCCGTGAGACTAGCCTCGCAAGCTGTGTCACGGTGCAATGCCAGAGCAACGTGCCATGCATGGCTTCTGTTATAGGAACATGTTCCTCAATGCCGGTGATGGGTGAGACAGTACAGAGGTTTTAAAGATGCACGTTATTTCCGACGTGACGCGCAATTTTACGTCAAATTTGGCGTAAAACTCCAAATTTCGACGTGAGCTGCAGGTCACTGCACTCGCGTTGTTTTTCGACGTGCGAGCTGAACTTTAGCGTCACGTCAGAAATAACGTGCATCTTAGCCTCTTTATTGATATTCCCTACATCACCGCAGAATAGGCAACACATGCTTAACGTTAAGAACACTAGCCCGCAGTGCAGTTGACTACCCTACCCCCACTCTCCTTCCTGCTCCCCTTTTCCGTCTTTTATCCCCATGCCGATGGGTTTTGAGCGGCTATGAATCAGAGAGTGGTGGTCTAATGAACCTCACAAACCCCACGCGCTCAAGTTTCCCATGATCTCCGCAGGGCTGTGCACAGATGTGTCTCCTGATGATAAAAAGGTCTGTTTGAAGAAAATGACATGTGAATTGCTATCTTGAGCAGGCATTGCAGCTACTAGACCAGCAGCTGAGTGAACAGGGATAACTAGTCATATGCGCAGGCCACCTGGGTAACAATAAAAAGAATTTATTAATGTTGCAGCTTGGCATACTGACTTGGTGTACAATAGTATGCACATACAGCACCCAAGTGTTCCGCTTCTGTTCGCTTTCAATTCTTCGGCACACATTTGCAGTAAGTCGTCTTCTGTATTATCATATGTATCGATGATGCTGCGCCAAATCGGCAGTGTGAAGTGTAATTTTAAAAAAACCGTGTTGCACATTCAGCACACTGCATGCAGAGCGAGAGGCAGTCTAGAACATGAAGAAAGTTGCAGCCAAGGGCATTAGCCCGAGATTCATAACATCCTCTGCAACGCCGAAAAAGCTCATGGAGGCGATGCAGCAGAGGCGCGCGCACATTCTGTACAGAACGAGTAGTAGATAGACGAGTACGATGACGGAGAAGCAAGAGAAGAGAAACGTTGATAAACACACCAGTGCAAACATAAACTTATAGAATCCTTCGTGACAGTAAGCAGCTGCATTATCGGTGTGGTGCAATGTGATACGGCCGTAGTTTGGGAAGACGAGTATCGGACCCAGAACGAGTACGGCCAGTTGAAACACAGACACCAAGACACGTGGAACGGAGCACGGTGTCTGTAGGCAAGACACACATACACGCATGCACAAATGTGCAACCACACACACACACACACACACACACACACACACACACACACACACACACATACACACTCGCACAAAATACGGACATCTACCCGGTCTATTTTGAACGGATTGGGAGATCTTCAACAAATTCAAGGATCATTAGGAAAACGAACGACTACCCTGTTTATAGCAATGAAAAATATCAATTGTGCACTCATAACCATGTATAAACAATTAAAATGAAACAATTCCAGAACGTTTTCGTGTGACTATCATCAGTGGAACATCGTCACATAATAAGAATCGCTAAAACAACCAGTTTTAATTGTTTATACATGGTTATGAGTGCACAATTGATATTTTTCATTGCTATTTTACGACTGTTGTCTCCTCGGCGGTTATTTAAATACCCTGTTTATCACAGTTAATTTGACCAACGCAGTGTAAACCGCAATAACCTTTTTGGGTTTAAAAAAAAAATTACTGTAAAATACCGTTGATCCGCCCCCCATGCCATGTTGCTTCCCAACTAGGTTTTCGGCAGGGGGCGGGAATTAGATCAAGGCTGTCAAGTGCAGTACGATGTACAGCAATGCGGAGAATCAGACTCGATGTGCTGAATTGGGCCGCTCAACCAGAAACAAAGTGTCTCTTCCCAAGGCCAAGTCAACGCAATTCACAAGATCGCCATTCTTCTAGGGCTACTGTGCGTGGCTACAACTTCCCGACTCAGTGAAGACTTCTGCATCATTGAAAGAATTTAAAGTGAATCTGAGGGCCTGCTGATGACTGAGTGCACCATACGACTAATAATAAGAAACTAATCAATATAGCTTTTCGGCCGTTTCCTTTTCATGTATATAATCTTCTCCTTCTTTTACCATGGTTGGCCGTCACCCACATCTTCCCGTTTTGGCTGCCATCGGAAGCCATAAGATGTTGAATAAATAAATAAATAAATTGTGCACATTTTCATTCTGGATTGGCACGTATTGTGTACAGCAGTGCATGCGTCGGTTCAACATCGAATTTCATTGTATACGCCGAAGTCGCTTCACAGGTAGAAAATTGACAGGGGGAGGGAATTAGTGAGGGGGTGGGAATTAGAGAGGGGGCAGGAAGTAGAGAGAGGGCGGGAATTAGAGAGGGGGCGGATCAACGGTACTTTGCGGTACTTGGGTTGAAAGAAACTCACCCATGAGATGGGGTTCTCCGTCAGACCGTTTGCCATTAGTGCAAGCTGGATATGCTTGATAAGGAACAGACTACCCAGCACAATGCTGTATATGGGTAACCAGTCCTGTGCTGGGCAGTGATGCATGTGTAGTGCTCCTGTATGTGCAAACAACAACAACAACAACAACAACAACAACAACAACAACAACAACAACAACAACAACAACAACAACAACAACAACAACAACAACAACAACAACACCAACAACAATAGCAACAAGAGATATACTACACGATGGTCATAGAAAATTAGATACTCAATCTGCGGACAGCATGCTGTTTCAGTCGTTGTGAACTCATCAGCGCAGCACAGAGAAAATGAGTCCGAACCTGATAGCAGTGAAAAATAACTTTTCCAAATCCAGATTTCAGCCAGGATCGAATGTACCTTGCCAGAGTACATGGATGGATAGTTAGTTGCAGAGTAGGTCAAGTTTTCTCTGCACACAAAGTGCTCGATACCAGAAACTTGGCAGAACTTCCTTAAGTAGAACACTATTACAGTCAGCCCGCACACATCCGTTTTCCACAAAAATATCCGGATAGGCGAGGGAACCGGATAACTGAGCACAGTTTATGTTGGATGCATCACATAATAGTGATGCATTATGCTGCAAATATGTAACCAGCTATTATCTTCCATATGGCGAGGGATCCGGATAAGCGAGGTCTGACTGTACTGCAACTCCAAGCTTCACACTTGCTCGATCACCAGGCATCGATCGACATGGATCATTATTCTTATGATCGCGCAAGCATGAAACTCGGAGTTGCAATAACATAATTACTGTTCCACCTTACTTGATGTCGTTGTAGATAGCAAGACAGACAGACAGACAGACAGACAGACAGATAAAGCGTCTACGACCCTAGTGCAGGCAGAGTCGCAGCACTGTGATTTCAGGTGGTCCAGCCAGATTGGGTAGTTGACCTGAAACTACGTATGCGCCGAATATTTGTAGAATTACAGTACTGCATGCTGCATGCCATGGTACAGTGCTGCATGCCATGGTACAGTGCTGCATGCCATGGCACAGTGCTGCATGCCATGGTACAGTGCTGCATGCCATGGTACAGTGCTGAATGCCATGGTACAGTGCTGCATGCCATGGTACAGTGCTGCATGCCATGGTACAGTGCTGCATGCCATGGTACAGTGCTGCATGCCATGGTACAGTGCTGCATGCCATGGTACAGTGCTGCATGCCATGGTACAGTGCTGCATGCCATGGTACAGTGCTGCATGCCGTGGTACAGTGCTGCATGCCGTGGTACAGTGCTGCATGCCATGGTACAGTGCTGCATGCCATGGTACAGTGCTGCATGCCATGGTACAGTGCTGCATGCCATGGTACAGTGCTGCATGCCATGGTACAGTGCTGCATGCCATGGTACAGTGCTGCATGCCATGGTACAGTGCTGCATGCCATGGTACAGTGCTGCATGCCATGGTACAGTGCTGCACCGTGTAAATGTGGTGCAGTCTCTTACCCAGTATAATAGCAGCAAACCAGAGTGCAGAGATTGTCAGGGAGAGAAGATTGCCTAAACAACAATCAGTCATAACAAAACAGAATAGAACACTGTCAACAGAACACAACAGAACACTGTCAACAGAACACAACAGAATACTGTCAACAGAACACAACAGAACACTGTCAACAGAACACAACAGAACACTGTCAACAGAACGCAACATGACACAGTTCAGCAAAACATGACACGACTTGGCCCGGAGTAAAAATGATATAGAAGTAAATTATGGTGTCCGTTCCCGAAGGAAAGTCATGACGTCCACTAACACCCGGTAACCCCTAGCGACAGATGCAGCCCAGTACATCTGTGCATCACTGCATCTGCCCAGTGTAGCACAATATACACAAAATAGTGTGTGTGTGTGGGGGGGGGGGGGGGGGGGGTCAGGGGATGTCCCCTGGGAATTTCTCAAAAGTCAACCCAAACCATGCCTTTTGAGGGCATTCGACACCCTTATGACACAATCCAATGGTTGTGACTTTGCCGTAGAAAAATACACTGGAACAAAACTGGAAGAATATTGGTCCGGCTCCAACACCCATGTTACACGGAACTGAACATGCGTAGGTTCTGTATGCCATGAACAATGCTATGACAACATGATAGTGTATGGCATCACACAGGGCAGCTTGCTTAGAAGTGGCTAGCGATAGGGACCAGCGGATTCTGCTCAAAAAGGTGGCAGATTCTGCACGAAAAGCAGTGAAATTGGCAGAACCATACAAACCTCATGGCGGGCAATTCCTCGAATTCTGCTCCATTTCTTTATCCACATACCAAACATGCATGAAACTTACCAGAAAAAGTACCGAATTCTGCCAATTTTTCTGCCGACAGAATTCGCCGGACCCTAGCTAGTGATATAAGCCTGCAGGGGCGTAGCTGGTCCCCCTTTGAGGGTAGGGTAGGGTGGAGGGTGGGGGCGCTGGTGCATGTCATTCATGGTCATTATGTGCATACTGAACCTAGGTTGAAGTTTTTACGGGGGGGGGGGGGGGGGGGGTAGGGGGTGGAGAGGTTGCACGTGCCCCTCCCAGCGCCCATGCAGGCTGGTCACAATTATAGACATGCTGTATTCAGTATTGTGGCAAGAACTACCTCCAGTCCATGTAGAGAAGTCAGAAGTGCTCACCGTGCCTATCTTCTCTGGTCACTTTATAAGCTACAACCACTTTAGGAATTTTTAGTTTGTTTTGGTTCACTTTCCTTAAAACATATTAAAAGAGAGCTGGGCTCAAGAGCATAAAAGTGAATATGGAAATACACCCTTTTAAATATGTAAGTAATAGTACATCTGTGCCTTGATTTTTGTGGATGGTATTCACACGGAGAAAAGTGGGTCTGACTCAGGATATGATGAGAGTTTCTGATGGTGTTTGCATGATCAATCAGTCTGATGGTGTTTGCATGATCAATCAGTCTGATGGTGTTTGCATGATCAATCAGTCTGATGGTGTTTGCATGATCAATCAGTCTGATGGTGTTTGCATGATCAATCAGTCTGATGGTGTTTGCATGATCAATCAGTCTGATGGTGTTTGCATGATCAATCAGTCTGATGGTGTTTGCATGATCAATCAGTCTGATGATGTTTGCATGATCAATCAGTCTGATGGTGTTTGCATGATCAATCAGTCTGATGGTGTTTGCATGATCAATCAGTCTGATGGTGTTTGCATGATCAATCAGTCTGATGGTGTTTGCATGATCAATCAGTCTGATGGTGTTTGCATGATCAATCAGTCTGATGGTGTTTGCATGATCAATCAGTCTGATGGTGTTTGCATGATCAATCAGTCTGATGATGTTTGCATGATCAATCAGTCTGATGGTGTTTGCATGATCAATCAGTCTGAAGGTGTTTGCATGATCAATCAGTCTGATGGTGTTTGCATGATCAATCAGTCTGATGGTCTACTAGTACAGCATACAGACAGTATTCACAGTGGCTTGTGCCGGCTACCCACTCACCAATGGTGATGCTGCTGCGAACTGTTTCAAAGCATTCCATCTCTTCATCGAGGTCATCCTTTAGTAGCTGGTCTGAATGCATGGCAGTGCCACGCCGCCAATAACAAACATAACCAACAATGCAGTAATGCATGGCAGTGCCACGCCGCCAATAACAGACATAACCAACAATGCAGTAATGCATTGCAGTGCCACGCCGCCAATAACAAACATAACCAACAATGCAGTAATGCATGTCAGTGCCACGCCGCCAATAACAAACATAACCAACAATGCAGTAATGCATGTCAGTGCCACGCCGCCAATAACAGACATAACCAACAATGCAGTAATGCACATCTCTGGTACAAATACATGCTATGACCTATTCATCACGATGTCTGTTAACAATTGCCTGAAGCAATGAACTGACGGCAAAACAGCCTCTTGTCTCCTGTGCTCTGCATTTGCTGCATAGAGCACTCTTATTCCCGCAGCTATGCAGAACACGTTACTCAATAGTGTCTGGCGCTAGCCAGGGTCCACACAGCTTTAATTCCCGTAGCTATGCAAAAGACGTTACTTCAGTAACGTCCGGCGCTAGCCAGGGTCCACACAGCTCACCTGCCTGCCTGGCTCTATCCCGTACCTGTCCCGTACCGAACCAGTAAAGACAGCTGGCCACAATATCCAAATATTATTATTCCCGTAGCTATGCAAAAGACGTTACTCCAGTAACGTCTGGCGCTAGCCAGGGTCCACACAGCTTTAATTCCGTGTTTGTTTGTTTGTGCCACCGGCATGCCTGGCGCTATCCCGTACCGTACCATCAATGACAGCTGGCCACAATATTCAAATACGGCTTTCAAATGCAAGATCCCTATGCCTTTTTACCTAGGTCATCAAGGTGGTATACGTTGTCGCATTACCCTCGAATGCAAAGAGAAAGTTTATTTATTTTGCTCAAGACCCTACGCTATGCTTTTTTTCCTAGCTCATCATGCATGTTATTCGAACAGATGGAAACTTTTTTTACAATGCATTGATGTAGCCGATCAGTTCGTTGTGGTATGGCCGGGCATTGTGGCCATCATGGTCCATATAAAACACTATAAGACCGCAACGAAGTCGGGGCCAAAGAGGAAGTTTATTTATTCGATGCAAAAATGTATAAAGCAAAAGTCTCTCTGTCCCATAAGCTGCCACGTGCCAACTACTTCGAAGTAAATACAAAACCATGCACTTCACACGAGCTGACTTGCACCCGTGGCCCTTTTCATGAACCCAGACAAAGGGATTGGTCTATTATAACACATGTACAAAGTCACTAGATTACACCCGCACCAGAGATGATGGCGACAGTGCCAGACATCGAAACGGTGTTGTACGGTATAAGGATGTCGTATAGGATGTCGTACAACAGTACGATGAAATTGTGGGAGAAACCAGCGACCACTTGGGAACGATGAACATTACAACAGTCTTATTGTGAGTGATAGTCAGGCCCATTTTCTGAAGATCAGTAGCGAGTGCTATCCCGAGCATTATGTTAGCATTACGAAAGCATAGACAGGATGCGTATGATAGGAGACCCAAGTTGCTGAAGACCAGTAGTGATTGCTGATAACGCGCAGAAAAACTAAATCTGCAGCCTCTTTTGCCGTCGGACAGGATGCGTATTATAGGAGACTGTAAAGTTATGTAATGTGCTCCACAGGCGACCAAGCATTCGGCGGCGTCAGCAACAGTTTTGCACAAGCAAACTATCAAGGCAAGAACATTATTGTACTATTGCATTGTATGGAATCTATTTCACCTCATTGGCTCAACAGGTCGAGATGAAGTGAGGGAAAAAGCAATCCCCAATAAGATAAATTATGCGCCTTTCTTGATAGGTTGGTTGAGTCGAAGGAACTGTTTTACTATGAGGCTAAGCTGCTTAAGACTTTGGGTTCAGCTCGCCCTAGAATGTATGGTTTACCGAAGATTCCTAAGAAGGATTGTCCTGTCCGTCCCATCCTTTCTATGTTAGGTTCTCCCCAGTATAAGATTTCTCGCTGGCTATGTAGAATGTTGCAACCCGTTTTAGAATTATACAGTGAGTCGGTATGTAGTTCGCGATAGTTTTCGATTTGTCGATATTCTGCGCGACCACTCCTTCCCCGATACCTATGTTATGTGCTCTTACGATGTTGTTAGTCTGTTCACAAATGTCCCTTTGGATAAAGTCATTGATATTTGCTGTGAAACGCTATATCATCGCTCACTATGTCCGCCTGGCGAGTTCCGTGAAGATTCGTTCCGCGAAATGATCCGCTTGGTACCGTCAGGTGTGGAGTTTTCCTTTGATGGTGTCATGTATCGACAGATTGATGGTGTTGCTATGGGATCGCCCCTTGGTCCTGTTTTGGCAAATATATTGGTTGGTTATTACGAATGTCAGATTCCGGTTAGTTTGATGCCCCCATTGTATGTGAGATTTGTCGATGATTCTTTCTCGTATTTTCAGTCCGAGGCTCAGTGCCTCCAATTTCGTGATCTGCTGAGGAAGGTTGTTGATGGTATGTTGGATTTCACGTGTGAATTTGAGGAGTCAGATCGTCTACCTTTTCTTGATGTGCTCGTTGAGAAGTCAATTGATGGTGGTGTTGTCACGTCGGTCTCTCACAAGCCTACGTTCACTGGCTTGTACATTGTTTGGGATTCGTTTTGTGCGACACACTGTATAAGATCAATTTGTTGCGTAACTTGGTGGATCGTGCACGTCGCCTTTGTCCGTCCTCAAGGTTGGAGCAGGAGTTGGAGAAGTTACGTGCGCTGTTTCGTCTCAATGGATACCCCGAGTCTGTTATTGTGAAGTATGTAACTGAGACCAGTCCAAAGAAGAATGCTGAAGTTTCCACTAATCCAGTATACCTATGTTTACCGTGGAAGGGCGAGTCAGTACCACGTATGGTTCAGCGTCGGGTTAAGTCTGCCGTGGAGTCCAATTACCATAATGTTCATATTCGATTCATCTACTCCACGGTGCGTGCGTTCACGGTGAGGAAGGACGTCCTACCTACGTGCCAAATAAGTTGATTTATCACTTCCAGTGTCGGCAATGGGAGAGCCGATATGTAGGTAGGACTCTTCAACATCTGGACGCACGCATCCGACAACACGCACCGCTACACCTTATTCCACAACACGCACGATCCACGCGACCACGGAGGGGACGTCCCGCAAAGAATCATCCTGGTACAAGATGGTGTAACGCAGCGGCATCAACAACAAGCAACGTCACCTCACAATTAACTAGACCACCAGAAAAACAACCGGACAAGACACCTACAGGCGTGGCAGTGACAGGAACCGCATCAACTAGAAGAATGACAAGATCGGCAATGACGGCGATGGCAGCAACTAAAGCACAGACAGAGGCAACGGCTAGGGTCCACCCGACTAGCCATGTGATATCGGATGTGTCCACCGCATATGCTGATTGTTCTGATGTTAGTTCTGATAAGTACGAGTCGTCCATTGCTAGTCATTTGTTTGAGCATCCTGATTGTCGTGCTGTGTATTCAGATGATTGTTTTTCGATTGTGTCACGTGTACGCAGTGCTAGATTGCTGAATGTTTTGGAAGCCGTATACATCCACACAAAGAAACCCAATCTTTGCAAGCAGAAACAAATTAAATTCACACTTAGGCTGTTAGGTAGGTCGTCAAAACCTCGTTAGTTACATGTATGTCCAGTGGTTGTCTCTTGTTGTCGCACTACATGTCACGCTTATTGAGTTCTCGCACTTGCACCTTTGTGTCATAATTGCAATTTTCGTTGTTTACTTTAGCTCTCTTCTTCTTTGCGCTGTTTTACCACCTCCTTGCTGTATTTAATCCACTGTTCCTTTCCCCTTGCCTGTATTTCACCTGACGAGAAGGCTTGAAAGTATACTTGTGAAGACAAAAACTTTCAAGATGTTTGTAATGAGCCTGAAGTGTGTCCTTTTTACGAGTATTATCCAATAAATTCTGTACTTACTTTGGCCTGATTGAAACGTTTTTGCAATACAATGATGTAGCCAATCAAAGGAAAAAACATTTCCATCAGTTCTAATAACATGCATGATGGGCTAGGCGAAAAAAACATAGCGTAGGGCCCTGAGCTTCCAAGTTCTCTCGTTTCGTGTTTGTTTGTGCCACGCCTGGCGCTATCCCGTACCTGTCCCGTACCGTACCATCAAAGACAGCTGGCCACAAACAGCTGGCCACAAAATTCAAATAGGGCTTTCAAATGCAAGATCATAACGTGAAGCAACTTGGAAGACTGAGTATTTATGCGAAGTGTACCGGGTGATGTATGCAGGGCGATAGTGCGGGTTCGAATCTCAGGTTGTGTCTTAAAAAAAAATAGGAGAAATGAAAAATTTATAACATCCCTAACATCAGAACTCGGATGGTGAGCCAATATAGTTATGATAAGGCCATGGTAAAAAAATATCTTTGATTCTCAAGTACGCGCGCACCGATTTTTGGCGGCGCACGGACAATTTTTTTTATTTCTATGCATGCATATGCGCACATGAAAACGGTCAATGCAAAAGGCATGAATCAGGGAGCAGTAAAATACCGGTATTTTTCTACTCCCTGGCCTGAATAATAAAAATAAGAACCTGTGACGTACATATGTGTGACCCTATCTTTGGAAATAAAAAAATTGTGGGAAATAAAATAAAAAATCGCTCGCTCGCACCGATTTTCACAGGCTCATGACCTGAGAATCAACTTTATTTTTTACGATGGCCTAAAGAGGTAAAGGACAAAATGTTACGAGTTATGACAAACTGTCCACCAACGTAACCAGATCTTATACAGTCAGCAAGTGCGACAAAATGGCACAAAACTGACAAGGAGTACTGAGACATTCGGCGACCTGACACCTAGCTCCAACACTTCTCCAAGGCGCAAACCAACAACCTTCCAACTTGAAGTTTGTCATAACTCGTAACATTTTGTCCTTTACCTTTCTTTATCATCCCTAACATCCCTATGCTTTTTTGCCTAGGTCATCAAGGTGGTAGGCGGTGTCGTATTACCCTTGATTGCAAAGAGAAAGTTTGATGTAGCCAGCCAATCAATGGAAAAAACAAACATTTCCATCAGTTCTAATAACATGCATGATGAGCTAGCTAGGCAAAAAAAGCATAGCGTAGGGCCCTGAGCTTCCAAGCTCTCTCGTTTTTTATGCTAACGACTTATGCTGTAACCTGACCTGCGAACAGTTGTATAGACCACGTTTCGCCAGGTGATTTCAGATTTCTATTTACTAACGGGGTTACTATCGTCGTTGTCTGTTATTCTTGTTTTATTTTTTTGATCTTTCGAATAGATCCCGTGCATTGAGCACCTATCATCGAACATGAGTTATGTGCCTGTCGCCTGCTGTCTTACATTTATTTTTTACTCTTGTTTATTTTTGTTTTCCTCCCTGCCCACTCTGCCTGTCTTCTGGCACATGCGAATACGTGGACTTACTGTTGACGTAAACGCGGACGTGCGTATAATAATAATAATAATAATAACGGGGTTTCTGTACTAACCGGACTCGTTATAATGAGGGAAGACCTGTACTGCTATGCGCTGTAAATAAAGTAGTTTACAAAAACAGCAAACAAACCCTATGAAACCCCTACCCTTTGCAGCCCTCGTGCTTTTTTTGGTAGCTGGGGAACATTCAGAACCCACTGTAATTATTACATTATTGTAAGCCACTTGCAGCCCCGGCCGACCTTTTGCAGCCCCGGCCGGCCTTTTGCAGCCCCGGCCGACCTTTTACTGTTGAAGCCAATGTTAATGCTACATATAGGCTTGTGCATCGCATTCGAACATTGCATTCCAACCGGATCATTATGTATACAATAAATGAGGAGGCCGAAGGTTTATGACCAATAAAAACTATTATAAAAACCGAGGTCCCTGAGGTTTTTTTAATTTTAGTTTTTATTGGTCATAAACCCAAGGCCGGAGCATTTATTGTATTTAGAATCAACCAGTAAAAACTCCTACTCAATCTCCAACAACAAAATTAGTGGACAGCTGTTATTTGTGTTGCTATGACAACTCGTGTGCTGGACGAGTATTTGTTGTCATTGGTTCAATTTCTTTTACTCTTCATAGGCTATCAGATCATTTTCCTTATTTGGTCTATTTATAACCAATATCTATATGAGAGTGTGGTCTGTCTCCATGGTTAAAGGTGTTCTTTTCATAACTATAGCCACTTCTCCTTGTTAGACCTTATCTGGAAGGCCCATTCTTGCATATTCCAACAGCAGCCAAGGGAGCTAGCTCTCTTGGTTATGCCAAGAGTGCATAACCCCCCAGAGTGTGCAACTCCACTATGGGTGCTGTCCCGACAGAATTTCAAGTTGACGTCATTTTGATGATGCAATGCGCACTACTGTAGACGGATTATCAGACGAATCCGGAACCTGTGGTTGACCGAAGCCCATCGATCCTGTACAAATTATTGCAAAGAAAAGCGTGTGATGCGTTGACACCCGTACACATGTTGTAAATCACTGGTGCAAGGAGCATTGCGTCATAAATAATGACGACAACTTGAAATTCTGTCGGGACAGCAGGGTATGTAGGAGTTGCACACTCTGGGGGGTTATGTACTCTTGGTTATGCGGACTGGGTCCGATCCTAAAAAGCTGTTTTATAAACAGTTTTATAAACTGTTTTTATTGGATAGGATAGGATTATGTTGAATAAACGAGGTTTGTGTCAATTGGAGATTGACTTGGAGTTTTTACGAGTTGATTCTAAACCTCTATATATTGACCTTTGATAAATAGTATACCCACACTCATTAGTGCCCACACCATAAACAGTATCAAATTCAAATAAATTTGCTTTGACTCAATAAATACCACTGCACTTTTCCATGTAGCACTCCACTTTTCCCTAAAAGGAGTATTTTATACACAGTATTTATTGGCCTTAGTGGTATATATATTTTATAAACAGTATTAAATTTTATTGGCTTTTGACCCAATTAATACTGTTTATAAAATACCACTGGGGCCAATAAGTACTGTTTATAAAATACTCCTTTTTACTAGTTTTTAGGAAAAGTGAAGGTCAACATAATATGTATAATACTCAATCTGCGGACAGCAAGCTGTTTCGTTCTTTTTGAACTCATCAGCGCAGCACAGAGGAAATGAGGCCGAACCTGATAGCAATGGAAATAAAAATTTCCAATCAGGCCCGAACGTACCTTGCCAGAGTGCTCAAACTGACAAGTCAGTGAGCTCTGCATAACGCAAACAGCAAAGGCACTACCCCACGCAAGAGTGCTCAACTGCTACAAGAGCAGGAGCGAAATACTCAATCTGCGGACAGCAAGTTGTTTCGTTATTTTTGAACTCATCAGCGCAGCAGAGAGGAAATGAGGCCGAAACTGATAGCAATGGAAATAAAAAATTCCAATCAGGCCCGAACGTACCTTGCCAGAGTGCTCAAACTGACAAGTCAGTGAGCTCTGCATAACGCAAACAGCAAAGGCACTACCCCACGCAAGAGTGCTCAACTGCTACAAGAGCAGGAGCGAAATACTCAATCTGCGGACAGCAAGCTGTTTCGTTCTTTTTGAACTCATATATGTATATGTATAATATTTAGTAGCCTCAGGATTTATTGCAATTACATACCAGTATAAAAACCGAGGTCCATAATATCAACACTAATACCAGAATTATGACCTGCCAAGCTTGTGATAAGCTTCCCTATGAGACAGACATTGCTTGTCATAAACAACACCCCTCCCCCTTTCCCTGCTGCTTACAATTCGTACCTTGCTCGTTCGTAACTTTCGTTTTCACAGCTTCATCCGTCATGGCCATAATTATGTCGCTTGTGGCTTTTAGTTCTGCGACGGTGTATTTCTTGAACGGTGATAGTACAACGAGATCAGACCCAATCCACACTGATATACTGCGACACGCTCACACGCGCAACATGACGATACGTGTATTGAACTCGGCAGGAAAAGTAGAGCAGCTCAGTTTACCATGCCGAACACAGATTGCTGCTCCGACTATTCACTTTTTTCTGCACACCTCTTGCTTCCCACGTCGCAGGGTGACTGAACTCCGCAAAGAATTTCACGTGCACATGCGCTAGAGAAAACAAGACACGATATGCAGCAGCTTACACAGGCATGTGGCAATTCTTCTTGCTGCTTCGCACGCACAAAATGCGTCCTTTTCACAGTTTGTATTCTTGCTAACTGCCACACGCCCGACGACCTTTCCGAACATCTGAAAAGCGCTCAGGACTTCAGTACGTCGTACTCATGGAACTGGAAGTGACTTCGCGCAAGCCGAATGCTGCGCCGATTCGAGCAACAAGATTGCGGGCAGTGCAAGGTCACACGTGAAGTGACGCGCTCCGATCCGGGCTCTGCGGGGTCGGGAAACGGACGCGTCTTGTCTGCAAGGCTTTTACACGTACCGGTACATGTACAGATCTTCATTGCATTATACAAGCCTGTAGTCACATTGAAAAACGCAAAATGTTTGGCACCTATGATCAGGCCAGGGGATGGCCCACGTGCACGCCTGGTAAAAAAACAAAAAACAAAATAAACAATGAGAAGTTGCGTACAAATCATGTACCGAGTACTACGGAGAGCAAGAGTTCATAAACCCCAAGACGGCAAGAGTGTGCAACGGGCATAGACCCAGGGGAACTGTCACCAAAAAATTTCTTTGTCTTATCTTGTAGTTCTTTGGCTCCTAATCACGATGGTGTTATTCGTTTTTCTCTGCGATGACTGGAAGTGGGTGAAAACTTGAAAAGAAGGTGCCCAAAATTGTCCCGAAGTACCGAGTGACGTCACGCCGGACTTGACCTCCACGCGTACATTCATCGTCAAAAACGAAGCCCAGCCCGTGTGCTGGTCGATCGAGCCAACTAATGTACGGTGCACGCTTGCCTTCTGAACTCGGACACTGATGTGTACGTTGTACACAATGAGAACGCCAAAAAGGGACAAAACAAACAAAAGTCGACAGCAGTTTGTCGCACTGGTACTTCCTCCACGAAGCTCCAGCTCTTTGTTTTATTTGTGATTACGAAGGAGTGGAAGGATGTGTGTTTGGTGTTAGTGTGACACACATACCTCGTACTTGAAAATTATGTCGTTGTATCGAAGGTGGCGGTGTTGCCCACCCGGCTCTGAAATGAAAGACGTCGGAGTTTGTCATCTGCATCTTCAGCAACATCGCCTTCACGTAGCAACATTGCGTTCCTTTGGGGCTCGGGTTGGTGGTGTTGTCGCCGGCGGGAGGAGTACTGTTTCGGCATACGCGCTCATCATCGTGTTCCTCACACGAAAAGTTCATAACAACGACGTACTTCCGTGCTCACAAAATAAAGAAGTCAAAAAGGTGAGAGCTCAGCTGCTTTCTATTTTGATTTGGCTGTGTAGCTGCACGTGGGTCTCTGCCTCTTTGGCATTCTCCTTCGGTACGACGTACCCATCTGTGTTAGATTTCAAAAGGCACACGTGCACCGTAGACCCGGGTGCTCGAATGAGACACAGGGTACCAAAACAGAAACACCCTGAAATTGTACCTAAACTTGTTCCGATTTCGTTTAGTTTTCACAAATACCATCAACATACGGCCTGCTAACGGTATGCCAAATTTCAGCGCTGCCCGGTAAACACTTTCTGAAATACTCGCGACCCACTTTTTGCTGGGTCCTTGATTCGAGGATATGGGTCTCCTGTACGGTGCTGCCAAAGTCTAAAGACCTGCTGAATCTGCGGCTCCACTGACCATCTTGCTCTCAAAAATGAAGTAGTAAGTTACTACTCCCTGCCCTCAACTGCCACACCAAGCGTAGATGATGGCAGACCCGTGTGCTTGAATCGGAGACGATCTGACGAGTTCGCTGTTTCTGATTCGAGCACCCAATTTTCAAATAAAAAATCCGAAGGAAATACGACAATTTTACTGCGTCTGTAGCTTGTGTTGTAGCGCACCCAGATTCTGAATTCCTGCTGGGTGGGTCAAGCCAGACTCTCTTCCCTGTTCCATCGCCTCTCCAAAAGTATATTCTGACATTGTTGAGATTTACAGATGAGAAATTGCACACCTGTCAAATCGTTTCTGATTCGAGCACCCGGGTCTACATCGGAACAGCTAGCTCAATCGACCAGCACACGGGCTGGACTTCGTTTTTGACGACGAATGTACGCGTGGAGGTCAAGTCCGGCGTGACGTCACTCGGTACTTCGGGACAATTTTGGGCACCTTCTTTTCAAGTTTTCACCCACTTCCAGCCATCGCAGAGAAAAACGGATAACACCATCGAGATCAGGAGCCAAGGAACTACAAGATAAGACAAAGAAAATTTTTGGTGACAGTTCCCCTTTAAAAATAATGCATTGCCGTCGAGGACAATCATTCTGATAGCTGTGCAACTCAGCCGAAAAATGCTCCTTCCACTTATTCTCTCAAGTTCCTCAACCATTTGAAATCATCTTCGAGGAAAGCACCGGAAATATGCCGATGGCCTTGGGAAGAAATTGTTCTTGAAGAGACTGACTGCACTGGTGAAAGAAGAAGGCGATGAAGAGTCACCATTGCATCGAAAAAATAAAATAATAGTTTTGTCTTCAATAGGATCGTTCGTGTGCTTTGTTTTACTTTTGCTTCTTGATCTTGAGGCTCAGACTAGAATCGCAGTTTAGGCAGTTTACCCTGGGGAAGCATCCTGGTTTGACTGTAAATTTTAGAAGAATTCATCGGCGTGACTCATCGCACTGCACCAAAAATGACGCAATGAAGGAATTCCGCCGAGCGGCCTTCCATACACGGACTGATCAGGAGTTGCACACTCTTGGGGGTTATGAACTCTTGCAGAGAGAGAGAGAGAGAGAGAGAGAGGAGATTTCAATCCTCCGCCATGGCAAATTGTGTTTTGTTCGCCCGTAAAAGAGGCTTTTACTACTAAAAAAAAACAAAAAAAAAAAAAAACTACAGACAGACTATAATATAGTCTCCAAGACACAAATCCATCGCCAGAAAAACAAAAACTTTCTTCGATAGATTTGAAAAAAGTGCGAAAACACGGCACGCGTCAGTACGCTTTGTGTACGCGTCCCTAAATGAGCTGTTGTGAGGCGGGTCGTTTACTTTATACCAGGCGTGGGCCATCCCCTGTACATAGGTGCCATCATTTTTCTTTGTTTCAATAAAATTGTGTTGTTTTTGTGAGGCGGGTTGCTACGGTACGCCGCCATATTGATAAATGTCGCACTCAAAACAGCCGTGCTATGGATTCGAACATACCGTATTTCCACAAATAGTAGGCCGGTCTACTATTTTTTCAACCTCGTCCTAACCCGGCCTTATAATCGAGGACGGTCTTGTATTCGAGGACGGTCTTTTATTCTTTCAACCCAGTGTGACCCCGGTCTTCTATTTCTCGCCACACAGTTTTACCCCCGTTCTTCCATTTTCTTCTACACAGTTTGAGCACGGTCTTCTATTTTTTCCCACAGTTTGAGCACGGTCTTCTATTTTTAACACAAGAACAAAGACTCATTTAGTAGGCCCGGTCTTCTAATCGGAGACGGTCTTTTATTTTTTCAATCGCCCCCTGCCCCGGCCTTGTATACGAGGAAGGCGTTGTATACGAGGACGGCCTTTTATTTGCGGAAATACGGTAAGGCCCTCTTCAGACTACATATTATAGGTACAATTTCTACAAAACAGCCTATAAGTCACATTTATATAGAAGTTTCCAAGACAACAATTGTGCCGAATACAGAAAATCTCCGCGTCGCTTATGGGCTACAATCAACTATGTGACAAAGCGTAAATCAAAGTCGTCTCCCATTCTTGCACCTAACCTGAATGACCACTTCCATGCTATAGTCCACGACCCCACAAGCACGTACGACCTGCCGTCTGGACCGGTCCTTGAAGATGCATTGACCTCTTTCGATCGGGTCAGCACTACAGAGGTAGAGCGTGCTCTTCGCTCCCTTATACCGTGCAAGGCACCGGGTCCAGATGGCCTTCTGCCTGGTTTCCTCAAGGCCATGGCGTCCTCCTTGGCGCCTTCTTTGGCAGAAATCTTCAGCGCGTCTCTTAGCAGTGGAGTGTTTCCTTCTGCCTTTAAGCGAGCCAACATCACCCCGATCCCAAAATCCGCTCAGACCGACGTCTACAACGCAACGAGCTACCGCCCAGTTTCGCTGACGTCGATCCTGTCCAAAGTGTTGGAATCCGTGGTAATGTCGCAACTATTCTGTCACCTGGACTCGACTGCATTCCTACATGATCACCAATTTGGGTTCCGCCCAAATCGCTCCGTCCATCAACTGCTCTCTTTGGCAATTAATGACTGGTGTCTTGCTCGGGACCAGAGCCTGACCTCTGCTGTCGCGTTTGTTGACCTTAGTAAAGCGTTCGATCGTGTGCAGCATCAGCAGCTACTCTTGGCTTTGCACGAGATTGGTATCAGCGGATCAGCACTCTCATGGTTTAAATCCTACCTTTCTGGCAGAGCCCAGCGGGTCCTCAGGTGCGGTGAGGTCTCTCCATTTCTACCTGTCACTCGTGGGGTCCCGCAAGGCAGTGTCTTGGGCCCAACTCTGTTTAACATCTATGTTCGCCGCCTTCCTGCAACTGCTGACACATCCGGGACGAAATTGCTCGCTTTTGCGGACGACAAAACGGTGTACGCATCCTGTCCGACGGCAAAGGAGGCTGCAGATTTAGTTTCCCACACGTTATCAGCACTCGCTACTGATCTTCAGCAACTTGGCCTGACTATCAATGAGAATAAGACTGTTGTAATGTTCATCGCTCCCAAGCGCTCGCCGGTCTGTCCCACGCCCACTATCTGTATCGATGGTAAAGTGCTGACAGAAGTGTCCAGTGCTCGCTGTCTGGGGGTTGTAATTGACAACAAGCTCTCGTTCACACCTCATTGTGATAAGCTTGTTGCCAAGGTGTCACGCAAAATTGGTCCTCTACGGCGTTCCTTTCGTCAACTGTCCCCGTGCGCTTGTCGCCTTTATGTGCTATGCGTAATTCAATCTGATCTAGAATTTGCATTTCAATCGTTCTTACCCTGCTTATCTGCAAAAGACCGTGGGCGCCTATTTGCTGTTCACCGTCGTGCGATCCGAGCTGCCTGTGGTGCCCATTACTGTGCTGACGTGGACCCCCTTTACCACTCTCTTAAGCTATGTCCTCTGGACCACCGTTTCTTACAGTTGTTCATTAACCCTTTAAGAGCCACAGGAAAATTTCAAAATTCTGCATTTTTTGGTGTTCCTTGGAT